ATTGCAAACACAGATGAAGATCAACTGATGCCACAGAGAACTTTTGAGCAGTCATTACATCTCACTTTCTGGATTATTTGATAAATGATGTTGTCGAATGTTGATTTATAGTTTCACATGCTTCAGATGCACAAGATGTCGTTCAATTGGGTAAAAAAGTAATCCAACTCTTATTTTAATTTGTTTTAGTCCTGAAATAAAATGGTAGAAAACCATAATATACCTCTGATATGATAAGCCTCAAGATATCACAATTATAACAACAACTCTCACTCTAAACCCACTGGAAAACAAAGCTGCCCCATTATTTCATTACAGAGGTCAATAATAATGACATGAAAGCATTCCAACGCTTCTGGAAATAATTCAGTTCACATCAAATTTGGTAAGATTGACAATAATGATGACCATTTACCAAAGATCACTAAATGTTCACTGTGTTAACTTCTATTGTCCTCTTCAAAGTTGATTTCCAAAGGAAACATAAATGTAACAAAGAAAAAGTTTACAAAATTTTCAAAACTTAAGCAATAGTATTTTAAATTTCACAATTGATGCACTAGACATCTCTGTCCTAACAGTAAAAAGAAATTAAAAAAAAGGTGGACTATGACTGACAGACAGCAGAAGAAGAAAATTATTCAAGAAATAAGCAAATTTGACAGAATTATAACAAATTCGAGCAACAATATAATTACACGAACTTCAAATTCAACTTGCACAAAACCCAATTCAGAATAAAATGAGAAATTGGTTGCAAGATTCAGAGTGAATGGGGGATTACCTAAGCAAAAGAGTACATGAGACTGGTGCTGACGGACCTGGGTGCTGACCATGAGTGTATAACCTCTATCTCTTCATTTCTCCTCTCCGTGGCGTACGGAGAGGCTCTCCGTGGCGCTGTGTGTGGAATAAAAAATGAATACAACAAACAAAAAATCGTGCAAAAACTTAAACTCCTGAAATGCCCACGGCTCACCTGAGGGGCGAATCCGCCACCAGTCCGGTCGAAGCAGTGGCGGAAGATTCTGAAACCAAAACAGCAGAACACGTCATTGGCAGAACCGGCGACTTTCTCCTCGTCCTCGCGGCCTTGCCAGTCGTCACCCGTTGAGTTACCATGTCGGTAGCAGCAGCTGCTGCGGTGCTCACTCTGCTTCGGCATTCGATTCCGAATGGAAATCATCTAATCAATCAATCAATGGAATTAGGAATTTAGAAAGGGTAGGGTTTGCGGTTTCAGCTTCAGTTCACAATTTGGAATCTGATTGGACTTTGGAAAGAGTTGGATTTGGATTGTTGACTTGGGGGAAATACTTATGAAATACAATGGATTATAGACCATGACGATGGAAAGAAAGAGAAAGGGAAAGTAAAAGTGAAAGTGAAAGAGAAGGGCTGATGAAAGTGAGGCAGGGACGAACCAGATAAGTGTGAAAACGGATTGAAGGGTAAAATCGGGAGATGAAACTACGTCTTGCATGAACAGTAATTGCCATATTCCCTCTTTTAATAGAAGAGGGAAATGTCTCGTTTGTCTTGGTATAATACTATGAAATGTTAGTATGATACTAAACTTATCAATCAATGCCTTTGACAGTACTAGAGTGTCATGGTATAATATCAAGATAAGTTAAGTATTATACCATGAACCAAAAAAAGAGTTTAATTCCATACATTCATGATAAAGATGCTGCAAATAAATGATATAAATCCATAATTGGTCAGTATCATATCAAGCACGAAACACATGCCGTCAAGAGAATACAAATATTTCTATATTAAAAACATTTTGAAATTAAATTTGTAGATCGAACAACAATTGTTTAATCCATCAAATGAGTTAAAACTGAAGTTTCAAAATAACCATTGTTTGGGTATGCTTGTTGTGTTGGAATAATTCTATTATGTGGGCTTCCATTTGATAGCAATTTTTACGGGTTAGATATATTGTTGCAATAATACTATGATTAAGCCCAATATGTTAGTGATCACTTGGACCGTTGTACACCTTACAAGCTTTATTATTTATAATGTGGTAATTTTAAGTATGTGGACTGAAATTAAGTAAACCCTAATTAGGGTTAGAGTCGGTAATGGGTCTATTTTATAATTTCATATATATATGGCTAGGTCCCATCTCCTCTCCATATTGTTTTGACTTGCCCCATTAACGATCGATTATTTTGAAGGGCAAGGAGAGGAAGATCTAGCTGGTAATATTCATACATAATAATGTTTTCCGTAAGTATGAATTTCGAACTATTAATTAATTTATATGATTCTTGTTCTTAGCATGATTATTGAATAATTACAACAATTGGTATCAGAGCAGGCATGCTAAGATTAGAATCTTTAAAAAAAAAATTGATTTTAAAGGTTCTCTCTCTTCTCTCTCGCATACATATAAAATTCAATAGGCAGTTTTTATTTCCTCTTTTATAATTTCCCACTTTGTTGGGGCATTTTCCAAACAAGCCGGGTAAAATAGATCCATTTAGGTTTTTATGAAAAAGTCTGTTATACCCTTAATGATATATAATTTGTTTATTGTAA